CGTTTGGGCTATTTATATCCTTGTTACTGCTGCTGCGACCACCGCAGTAGCCGGTGTTCTTCTAGTCAGTTTGAAGTGGAGGGAGTAAAGTCGTAGGCACAACTCCAATGTGGCCATAGATAATTATTGCTTGTGGTGAGTTGCTGATTTCCTGATTGAGTAGCTGTCGATCATTTTTGCTCAACATCCAGGTACGGCCAAAGTTTAGACATAATTCCTAAAAGCATGATCGATGTTATTACACAAACTTCTTAGGCGCTTTATTGACTATCAAGCACTCTTAAAGTCAACGTGTACAATGTCCATGTAAGAAGTAAAACGAAGTGATCTCCCATAACTTTCTAGCATTATTCTTTTAGCATATTCTGTGCAATCGGGCTTAAAAAGGATTTGTTTTGAATGTATGCTTTCATTGCTTAATCCCCCCCCCCTTACAGATCAATTTGTTACAAGCATTATGTTTAGAAAATATATACTTCAACCCTCTAACCCCCCCCCCCCCTATGGAACTAAAAGAAATCCTATGCACTAGCAAGGCTGGAGAAACCACTCTGGGTATATGCTATAACGTGTTGACTATTGATACTATATATATATATATATATATATATATATATATATATATATATATATATATATATATATATATATAAAGCTCGGATGCTCGATCGGGCAATTCCCGGCGCCGCAGGCAATAGATTATGGGAGCCGGTGCCGGTTGGCCGCAAAGTCCACAAAGAAATGATCGATACTGACCTCAACTGACCGGCGCCTTATATATCGAAGGTAACTTTTGCCAACGACACTACTTGATATTTTCTGAGGTCGTAGAGAAACGATAAAGGATATCAGAAAAACTAGACGTATCAGGGAAAAATCTGTAAATGGTAAAAACTGACCATTCGTATTTCCCTATATAATCTTTGTAATTTATGGGAAACAGATTGTAATTTCAACACAGATTTTAGTGCATTTACCGTCCGTACATCTGGCTAATTTTTGGCATGCATCTAGGTAAATGGCTAGACCGTTTGGAAAAACTGTCGGTTTTTCTTAAAACCCTGGAAGAGGGCTAAAATTTTCCGCGAGTGAAATTCTCCCAATTAGAGCTATGTAACGAAAAAAGCTTTTGCCGAACGACACCCCTTAATAGGGGTGTCACAAAAAAACTAGCCATATCCGGGGAAAATTTACAGAGCGTTCAAAACTGACCAGTCGTATTTCCCTATATAATTTTTGTAGGTTATGTGAAAAAAGAGGGTAATTTAAACACAGATTATAGGGTACTTACCGTTTGTAGATCTGGCTAATTTTTTTGCATGCACCTTAATAAATGATTAAACCGTATGGAAAACTTGTTAGTAAGACTCTAAGCCTCCGATTAGGGCTAAAAAATTACCGAGAGTAAAATTCTCCTTATATGAGCTATATATAACAAAATTACCAAACGATCCCCCTTATATTTCGCGAGGTCGTAAAATGGACATGCAGGGTAACAAAAAAACTTCGGAAAAAACAAACTCTAAGGGTCGTTAGATTTGTCCAAAAGCCGTATTTTCTTATATAAGCAGAGCAATTGTTTGTGAAAAAGTAAACAAAGACTATGTCATTCGGTCTACGTACAACAGAGGTAACTTTTTAAATTAATAATTATAAAATTATTTTTATACTATTTGCAAAAAAAAAACAGAAAATCACAAAGTAAAGCAATCGTTAAAATATGTATATCTCTATAAATTAGTTTATACATCGTAATGAAATTGTGAAAATTAATTGCGAAAGTTAATTTAATATAAAATTGAAGTTGTATTTATACGGAAGCCTTTGCAGTTATAATCACCTTACAAGAAATTAGTTTGTGAAAACTCCATCAAGTGTTTGACATGAAATTACTCAGACTGTTTAAACTTAAGAACTCTACATAACAGCACTTGAAACTTACGAGGGGGGGGGGGGGGGAATGACACCGGTCAAAGTATATATTTTCTATTTTAGTTTTCTTTTCTCCGTCTATGTATGTACTTGCAGTAATCGACTGAATCATGCTGAAAACCACAAAAAACGACACAGGAATCCAGTGGAGTTTCACCAAAAGGCTGGAGGATCTTGATTTAGCCCAGGGGTCTCCAAACTTTTCAGCCCGAGGGCGGCATTGACTATCAAATATCAGCTCGGGGGCCAGAGGTTGCAGGCATCTGTTTGGTGTGGCAGAGCCCCCCCCCCCCCCCCCCACCGAAGAACGTCTAGCGCCGCCCAAGCCCCCCGACTAAAAATAAATTATATAGAAATATATACAAATTTCTAGTAACCCCCCCCCCCCCCCCGTCTTGGGGAAAAAAGTCTGAAAAATAAACACTTTCGGGGGCCGACAAAACACTCAAGGTCCAAGTTTGTTCTCAAATTGTTCTTCGCGTATTTTATTCTTGAAAATGTTTGTTCACACAGGTAAGTTGCTCCAAACTTTGAAAGTTAGTTTAATGTAAAAGATTCAATATTATGAAGGTCTTTCTTGAGCAAAAGCTTATAAAATCCCACCCGCCCTTTTTTGAACTTGTCTCTAAGGAGGTCATTTGCCTGCAATTCTATGGCCTCCAGCTGTAGTTCAACTGGGCACATTTGCTTCAAATGTATTTTGAAACAATTTCACTTTTTCAGACTTTGAATCCAAGTCAGAAAACCACTACTGAAACTGCAGCTGGGTGTCTTTGATGATCTCGCATGGACATGACGTAAAGGTTCCTCAGCCACCTCCAACAAAAGTTGATTTTTTCCGTGGACATAAAGATCCCCGCGGGCCAGAAAAGAGGACCTCGCGGGCCGCATCAGGCCCGCGGGCTGTAGTTTTAAGACCCCTGAATTTTAGCCGATGACATCTGCCTACTATCTCACAAGCATCAACATACGCAAGCCAAACTAAATCAGTTATCCGAAGAAGCCTCCAAAGTTGGACTAAAAATAAATAAAAATAAAACAGAGGTCATCAGAATCAATAACAGCCAGGACCTGCCCATACAGCTAAATGGTGAAGATTTACGTGAAACAAACACATTCATATATCTGGGAAGCGTGATCAATAAGGACGGGGGGGTGCAGGCGAGAACGTTAAATGTCGTATCAACAAGGCTAGATGTGCCTTCAACTCACTGCGCCCGATGTGGAGGTCCACGGCCCTGTCACTCCGGAGCAAAGTTGGGATTTTCAACTCAAATGTCAAGGCAGTGCTGCTCTATGGCTCGGAGACTTGGAGGGTCACGAAGACAAATACTGATAAGCTACAGGCATTCGTAAACAAATGCTTACGACACATACTTAAAATAAGATGGCCAGACAAAATATCAAACAAAGACCTGTGGCGAACTTTAAAGCAACAGCCAATAGAGACAGATGCCAAGGCCCGAAAATGAGGATGGATCGGACACACATTAAGAAAGGAAAAAGAAAACATCGCAAGGGATGCTTTAGACTGGAATCCCCAGGGGAAAAGGAGGATTGGACTGCCAAGGAAGACATGGAGAAGAACGGTTGAAGAAGAGGCGAAAGCAGCTGGGCACACATGGGCAAAGATAAAGGGGGCAGCCCAAACCGAGTCCGCTGGAGATGTGTGGTTGCAGCCCTTTGCTATCCAGGGGCCACAAAGGAATGATGATGATGATGATGATGATGATGTCTATGTATGTATTTGTGGGTGGGAGGGGGTTGAAATGCCATCCTCCTAGAAGAAATGCCTAAAAGTAAGCTACCTGTGTAATATACATTTAGAAAGAACCTGGTCATTCTGTAGTTTAAATCGTAAGGAACTACTGCATACAAATATTTCATTGTTAATTAAATGTGTTAGTAGCGTATTCAATGTAAGTAAAGCGGTTGTTTTTTTAAATTTCATGTTGTCTTATTTTATTTTATTTTTTTTAAGATAAGGTTATTTTAGTTAATACAAAATTTGGTAGTAATTATTTTTCGGTTATATTTTAGAGTCGTATAATTAGATTAACATAACTACACATTTAAATGACTTAACTATTTAAGCCAATTAAGATTATTATTGTTTGGAACAAGACATAATTCCTAATTAATGTGTGCTTCTTTTTAAGCCAAGGACTTGGAAGTAAGTATCTCACAAATTGTGCCGAAATAATTAACATGAAAACACATGTAATATACCTATATAAGCATATAAAAATATATTTTATGACTTGCATCTGAGCCTTTGTGTTATTATATTTTGTTTTATTCACATTCAAAGTTACTAAACTAATTATATGTTGGAAGATGTTCCTTTATATATATTGTGTAGTATTCTCCATTAAATTAAACATTTAATTCTGAATGTATGAAGCCAACTAAAAGCTAAGCGAATCTGTCCTCATTTGCAAAACCTCTAACTGCGATGGAAGTTTCAGTTTAATTAATCTGATAATTGTACGTTATTTCTATTTCACTAGATCGGGGGTCTCCAAACTACGGCCCGCGGGCCGGATGCGGCCCCCGAGGTCCTCTCATCCGGCCCGCGGAGATCTTTTTGTCCACTGAAAAAACGTTTGTTGGTAATGGCTGAGGAACTTTGCCCAGAAAAATCAAAGACATGCCTGGAACAAACTGGACCCCCACTGAAATTTGATAGTTAATGCGGCCCTCGGACTGAAAAGTTTGGAGACCCCTGCACTAGATGAACAGATTGGCATTCAGTTGTCTTTGTACGTCATTTTCCCCCTCAGACTTAAAGTGGGTCATGCAAACATTTTGAGACTCCTATAACGACTATAGTTTCACCAAGATATGTGAAAATTAACTCATCTTCCTTCTCTAAAACAATAAAAATACAATCTCTCGAACTTTATTTTATAAACGTGTATTTACTCTATAGGCGTGAATTTATATTCTGTAAATTTTAGTTTCTGCTAAAACATTAGTTTGTCTAGCTTTGCTAATAAAAGTGCTTAGCAAACTGTGTGTTTAAAGTTATGCTGACAAACAAAAAAATAAAAAATAAATAAAAAGAATTTAGCTTTTGTTTTTATTTTCGTTTGTTCAGTAATCGTAAACATGTGCGGTCGTCATCCTTGCTGATTTAAGTAAACAAGTTGGTGCCTTGAAAGATTACGCTGAAATTAAAGTAAATGTTTTGTATATAACAGTTTCAAACACATTGTAAAGATTAATGTTTTCAATGTATGCTAGACATGTCTGTGTCTTCAGTACATGTCTCTGTTGTGTCTGTTTGTGTATGTGTTTGCGTCTGTGTGTGTCTCTGTGTGAGTCTGTGTCTATCAGTGTACGTGTCTGTGTGTGAGTCTCTCTGTGTGAGAGTGGATGTGTCAGTGTCTATGGGTGTGAGAAACAGTGTGGGGAGAATGTGTCGAAGTGAGAATATTCCTGTATGAGTGAGCATGTGTGTATAATCATGTTAGTGTGTATCCCTCTACATGTGTTTATGTCTTTATCTGTGTTGTACTGTGTGTGTCTGTGTCAGTGAGTGCATGTGTCTGTGTAGCCATGATGCGTAACACGCTGCCTTACTCGGGGTAACCCTACATCCAAGAGACATGATGTAACAGGACTTTGTGGCAAAGTTGGCCGTGTTCAAGGTGGTAGCACCAGCTACGTTGGTGGCGATGGGCAGGTTCATGATCTTCTCCACTGTGTCGGAGCACGTGTTGACGCTGAGCGTGGTGGCGGTCAGTGTAAACGCCCCGATGATGTCGTCCTTCAGGACGGCGATCTGGCTGGCAGCTGCTATGTCTGCACCCCACTTGAAGTCAGCTGAGCAGCTTACGCTGTTGTAGCCCACTAATGAGTATGTGGTTCTGGAAAAAAAAAATATTTAAAAATCGCTTGACCAAAATCCACAATTTCATTAGTTGACTAGTGTGATTATTTTAGTAAAATATATCATTTGAATTGAGCTTTAATGCGAAATATTATATTTAGAATTAATTCTAGATCCATTCGGGATCGAGTCTATTGGACATTCTTGAGTCAACTCAGCTGACATGGGAGCCTGACTCAAGTTAAAAAGGTTGCTCGGAATAGACCTTTACACACTCTGCCTTATCTTATCTTACCATTAATGCTAAATATATCAATTATATTTACTATATTCCACAGTTTAATTTATATGAGCCGTTTTGTCATGTCTGTATAACAGAAAAATTCAACGAACACTTACCCACTTTTCCTGTACACAGTAAAGAACACAGTTCCAGCTTTTTGGCAGAAGTAGTACCAGGTTGTTATGTTGCCGTTAAATGGGATTCTGGGGTTTGTACATTTAAAACATTAATTACTAATTGTTTGAAATATTAAACGTTGAAACAAATTAATAGAATGAATGTAAAAAAATGCATCTTTGAATTTTTTTATGACTTCAGAACCAAACAGTTTCTGAATACAATTTAGCAGTTCCCACTGACGACAAAAATAAAAATAACTTCTGTTGTGTACATAAAAAAATTATGAAAGCATATAAACATGGTTTATTTAAATGTTTTGAGAAAATTATTGCTTTCTAGTATCCAAAGGTCGTTAGTTCCTAAATGGGTTTTGGTTGAATATTGTAAATTGAATTTTAAAAGTTCCTTCTTTTTAACTGTGCACACTGCTTGTTTATATCTACCCACTCCTTTTTAAAAGTGAACATTGTATCTATCTACCCGCTTCTCTATCAATGCTCACGTTATTTTTCTTCTACGACAATGCGGGAACGTATAACTTTAAATCGTATTCGTTTATAATTTTTTTTTAAAAACTTAATGAGCCTCTGGCAGTCGTCGTTAGGATATAATCCTCCTAGTTTAAATGCATTTTTGGCTCATTGGATTTACCTGTAGCCGTCTTTGTCCAAGATGACGACAGTTTTAACTGGCAGAGTGTTCAATCTTCTCCTGACGGAGTTCAGATTCACATCAGTGGCAACAGGTGTTGCTGTGGGATTCAAAAACAAATAAAAATTCTCTGTGTGTCTGTTTGCTTATTAAAATTCAAACTCCTATTTACCAAAAGCCAGAAAAAAATATTTGAAATCTTAATTACTTTCTTAATTTATCAAATAGTTTGAAAACATAATTCCGTACATCTATGTTTATATTAAGCGGGTGATGCATAACACAATGCTTAATCCTATATTCGAACAATATGCTTTGTAATTTACTAAATTATTGCTTAAACTTGCTAGCGTTTTTTTATCATTAAGTCTTAAAGCGGGTGGCTATCATATTTACATTGACAGACAGGTTCAGTTCCCAGCAAGTTCCCAGACATAGAACACGCCCTGCTGAGATCTCCTGACACGTAGTACTGGCCAGCATTGCAGGTGAAGGTCATGACCTGACCTGGTTTGATGGTATCAAGAGCAGACGTCCTGGTGTAGGTGGTGCTGGTGGGGGCGGTGCAGGTCACAGTATCTGAGAAAAATACGACCAATACAGTATCGGCATTGATCATTCTTTTTATAATTCTTTTTATATAACTTCTTAAGCTTAAATACGCCGGTAAAACTAATAATAACTGCTTATTTATGTTTATTTGCGTAATCATGTGTATTATAGACTTCTGATTTGTTTTTTTTTTGTTTTTTTGTTGTAAAACACATGTTGAATTTGAAACCATTTTTGTTGTAAATATAAACAAATTTTTAATAAAATTTTTTAAAAAATCGAATGTATACTGGAACAGAATCCACAGGAAAGGGCGCACGACGATCTTGCCGTAGTCACTGTGTTAGCGTTGAGACAGAAGGTTGGGGTTTCGGCCATCACACTCTCACATGTGTCCACTTTGTCAGCACAGGTGCCTAGAAATAACAAATCTCATTATATGTTTATATATATATATATATATATATATATATATATATATATATATATATATATATATATATATATATATATATAAATATAAATATATATATATATATATATATATTTATATATATATATTTATATATATATATATATACATCGTAATATTTGGCCAGAGGTACACCATTAACGACGTCACACTATCAGAAAAGGGGGGGGGAATTCGGAATTTCGTGACGTGTGACGAAGTAGGGGAAAAATGTTTAGAACACTTTTTATTTCTAAAAGTAATTTTAGAAACTAAATTTTAGTCATCAATCACGTTTTGATGAATTTTTTTTTACGCCATCGATCAATATACGATGTACTCACCATATGTGGATATTTCACACATATAGGGTGACGTATGTGTCCCCTGACAGTCGTATGTCTTCCATCCTCCTTGGTTGTTGGCAGACGAGTACTCAGCGGCCATCTTGATACAGTCGTAGGACATGCTGTTGGTTGCTGGGAATGGTCAACATTGGAGCGTTCAAACAGCTATAAATAAATCATGTGCAGTGTTCCTTTCTGGCGACTCTCCGGGGAGGGAGATAAACTGCAATCCCCCCCCCCATACACACTCACAGACAAAAAATATTCAAAATTGAAATTCAAAATATATATACTAAGCGCCCCCCCCCCCCCCATCCCTCCCGTGAATTTTTGTATATTCCCCACCCCCGGAGTAAAATACCTTTAAAACAATTTAGTCAACTTTCAGTACATATAAGTATATGGTGAGAACTCTTTTAAAATATGGCGAAAATGCATTCATACGCGAAACTGATTTTTTTTTAATCGCCTTACTTTCTCCTGCTGACCAGTTGAAGTAGGTCATCTGTATGTTGGAATCGGTAAAGTACCATGGCCCGTTAGCAGACTGGAGAGTGCCACTGATCCAGTTACCATCGGCGACGCTAGGTAAAAAAAAATGAGTGTAATCACTGTTAATACAATAGGTGAAATTTCATAGTCGGCTACATGTAAGGTATCTGGGAGGTTTGGTATATAGCGCTTGTGAGGCATACGATTACGATTACTAACTAAACTTAAGTCAACTTCCCCATGGAAGCAAATCCAAAAAGACAAGCAGGCTGAAGTAGTAGCCAACCGGTCGTATTGCGCATAAAATGTTGACACGTAATACTATATTGTGTTGGAGGAGATCACCTTTAATATAATACCATTTGGGCTGAGTAAGAAATTAGCGTATATCAATTTCTGACTCCAGTCAGAGAAAACAAACGCGATTGGGAAAAATGCTGTTTCACTGACGTCCAGAACAGTTAACTATTTGACTTATGCATCGTCGGTTGTAAGAAAATGCTTAGATGAAAAAACAAATAGTAGGAGTGCAGTATGGCTAGACAATTTCCAACCCAGTCCGAAAAAAAATATATAGAAGACATTTCTATGTTAACGAGAATTGTCAAACTGCGAAACCCACGTATGAAACATCCATTTAAGAAGTCTTTAAATATAGCTCACCTGGATCCCGTGAACTTTTTAAAATCTCGGATCATCTGCTGATCAATCTGGTCTTTGACACGGAACAAAGTACCGCCGTTTCCGTACGACGTGCAGTTAGCATTGGCAGCGCTATAAGTCTTGTAGTCGCTGAAGTAACGGAAGCACCGATCCCCGTACACAATCCAGTCGTTAGGACACACTGTGAATAGAAATATCACAAGAATTATTCCTCAATCATATCAGTGAAACTTAAAAACAACATGGAGCTGACCGCTGAATACTGAAAGTTAAAATAAAAGTGGAAATTTTAAAAACAAATACTTGTCCCCATACACTTTCTTGGTAACAAAAGAGAAAATATTTTCAAAACAAATATGTCACGTCAGTCATATTTTACAAATTTATATTCACTAGCAATTAGCAATTAGATTCGGTAGCGCGATGTAATTCTTATGAAATGCCATCAAAGAATGAACTTCGGTCCAACCACTTGTTATAGTCAGTTAGCGTTTAGGTAGGGACATGAGTCAATGAAAGGACTAATGTTAAGACTTTACATTATAGTTTATATTGTAACATACCTTGGCATGCCTGGTTAAGAGTTGTCCATCCGGTTGCCGTACAGTACATGTCATTTGGCAGTCCGTTATCAGTGTATAGAGAGCACTTCACCTGAACCTTCTCACCTTCCAGGTACTGAGACTTTAGAGTACCGACCACCTGCCCATCAGCGGGGATGGTAGGTGGATCACAAACCGCTGGTGAATACATTATTTTTATATTAGGTCTAGACCTATTGGGAATTCTTTAATTTGGTCTTCTAAAAAAAATCTGTTTCGTTTTTTGTTCACTTGATACATGACTCATATGGTATTGTTTTTAAAACATGAAACTTATTTGTTTCTTTTTGAAAGGCCATTTTAAAGCCTGCACGATTAAAACTTTTAAACGTTTTTCGATGTGTTTTTTTTTCTAGACATTTGTTTCCAAATATTGCACATTTTATTGCTATTAAAATTTACACTGTAGAAACTGTAATAAGTTTAGATAGACTATATTCAATTAAATATAATCTGAATTGACTAATACAATCGGATTTAAAATGTTAGCAATAGATTTTCGTATGATGTTACCTCTAGTTGTTGACTCTACTGAAAAGTTGCAGGCGACAAAACATCCAAACCTTTGAACACCAGTAGAGCAGAAATTAGGATTCGATGCTTTAAGGGTTGCACATCTTGTCAGGGCGTCGATTGGTTTCCCTTAAAATAGGATGAATCATAAAAGCAATTACGTTTCGAGTAATAGAAATCTAAGCATATATACGTTTTTAGAATTTTCAATAATTTAACAAAATTACACACTAGCTATCCCGTGAAATGCTATCGAGTATAAAAGTTTATTTTTAAAAAATATTGCTTTATCATTTATCATTTCTTATATTAATAGTACCAAAATAATAATAAAGTTTTAACTTGAACTGACTGAAATTGCAAGCATCACAGTAACGAATGTTGCAGTTGGTCCCATTGATGTAAGTGTAGCACCAAGGTCCTCTACGGCCGTCTGGATTACGACATTGGTTGCTGGACAAAATGTTAGCCATCTGGTCAGCCCTGGGAATCGGAAATTAGAAAGAAGATAATTTACATTCAATACAGTTCAACACTTTATAGTAAAAAGTAGTATTCATTACTTTAAAAGCGCTCCAATTAAACCAGATTTTTTATTACTGAAAAGAATAATCTTTGTTATTTATTGGCATCCATTTCATAGATATGGAATCTACGCGTTTTTATAGTGTTTAAACTCGGGAACTCTGGGCGCTAAACCGCATATTTTACAAGCTTTTATTTAACTTGCTTCCTCTGTCGTCAGTCGTCAGTCTGTCGTCAGTCTAGATCGAAACGCCGGAGCAAACATTCGGGCACTACTACTTGACAAATGCGGTTCACAGTTGGCACGTGGGTCAAGACATGAAGAAAATGCAATCTAAAATTAAATTTGACTTAATTGGGTGCCTAATTAATTTTTTATGAATTAATTAAAATTTTGACCAAATTAGCAGGCATATCTATCCAACCACACCACACGCTTCATCACGTTTAATAGCGCGTCATCACGTTCAATAGGCGCGCAATGATTTTTAGTCATGAAACTCTATTGTAAATAAAAACATGTAAAGTACTAAAAAAAAATTTCATAAAAAACGTTTTAATAACAAGCTTTTATGTACGAATGCACTAAAAAGTAGAAAATAAATTATAGACAACTATTTAAATAACTATAAAGAAAAGCGTGGGTCTCTTCCGAAATATTAGTAAAGTTATCCATTAGATACTAAAGTGGCCCACGCTTTTCTTTATAGTTATTTAAATAGTAGTCTATAATTTGTTTTCTACTTTTTACTGCATTAGTACATAAAAGCTTGTTATTAAAACGTTTTTTTGCATTTTTTTTTATTCAGATGGCAGGTTTTGTTTAAAAAAACGGGAGGGGGAATGCAATTTTTCTTTAGATTGGTTTAGTTTGGAATACTCTGGACAAGAACATTAGACTGGGCAGCAACCAACAGAATAGCTGTATATAACTTGTGTGTGTAAACATTAGTAATCATTTTAAATTTTATTTTTTTTAAATAACAATTGACATTGTATAGACAAATCGAAAAGCAACATAATTCGAGCAATAAAACCACGACATACTTGGGAAAGTTTGAGCAGTTGACAGCCTGCGACCACTCTATACAGGGCTCGTATGTTTCAGAAATGGCAGTTTTTCCTCGGTAGTCCGCGCCATTTGTTGCAGAATCATAGCAGTAGTCTTCAGCTGTGGAGCAAAAAGGAATTTAAAGTAATCGTTGAAAACCCTTAGGGAAAATTATAGATATATTATTCATCAGTAGCCTAGTTATACTGAATTATTTTGTTTTTTGTTTAGAAAAAAAAGATAATTAGACTATTTCCTTCCCTCTTATAATTGAAAGGAATAGTCGCATAATATTTTAAAATATTAATCATAGTTCAAGTATTTGGGTTAACTTTGAGGTTTTTTAAGGGAAAAAGCGATGCATTAATAACATTTTATTTGTGTATGGCTATTAAATATTTTTCAGGCACCTTGAAAATATTAAACCACGTAAAACATTTATTAAAATTTGACTTTAACTATGAGATGATCATTTAAGCCCATGTTAGAAATTTTAACTAAACCAACTTACGTAAAATAACTTGTGCTGTAAAATTGACACCGTAGTTGGTGGTAGCACTGTATCCCATAAAGGCCTCAGCAGACAAGTAGTTCGACTCACTCAGAATTTGTGCTGGATAATTCGCGTTATCTAGTCTACAAATTGGTTCAAAATTACACATTGAACTAGTTTAAAATGAATTTTCGTATTAATTTTTTTTTTCCCTTGTTATTCCCTTTTATTGTTTTTTTTAAAAATATGTTTAGTATGCTACTTTTATGTCTTTTACCTTAGAACGCGTAATTACATTTTTAAAACTTAAATTAACTGCAAAATAAAATCTATATGATTGTGTACGTTATATTTTGTATCCATAATAGACAAACTGGATTAACATAATAGATCCTTACTTGAAGGCCACTTGCCATGGATGATATTTTTTTACCAAAAAGTCATCTTGAGTTGTTGATAAACTATATCTGTTGAAGGTGATCAGGATCTGGGAGTTGGGCGGGGACTGTGGAAGATACAAATTCAACGAATCAATCTATAGCACTAGTTTTAACGTTAATTCCAGGGTTGTTTTTTTTTGGGGGGGGGGGGGCATTGGCCTCCGAACAGATGCCTGAAAAAAAACACGAAGAATGTTCACCGCCCCCGCATCCTCAACAAAGTAGAATGAATATAAAATTTATTAAGATAAGAGAAATATCTGAATGAAACACTGGTTTATTCTCCTTCGAACTTGTAGCTTGCATAAGTTTTATATTAATAACATTAAAAAACATCTTCTTTAGAATAAATAATTCTCCCAACAATTGCATAGAATTTTCTTAAAAATATTTTTGAGTCGCTCAACTGATGTGAATAATAATAGAAATTAATTTAAATAAAAGAACACAGTCGATGTTTCATTATGCGGTTGCGATATTAAATCGACAGAATACAAGTGGTATTTCAAACAAGTAATTAAAAAAAGTCTAGTGACAATTTTAGCGCAATTTCCTTGTGTTATCTAAAAATAGCTCTGTCGTAGCGTAAATCAAGAGCAGGGTTAGTAAAACCATTGGTTAGTTATTAAAACGTTTTTTATTAATTTTTTTTTTCAGTATTTTACATGTTTTATTTACAATAGAGTAACATGACTAAAAACCATTGCGCGCCCAGCTACCGAACGTGACGTCGCAGCCATTGAACGTGATGGCGCAGCTATTGAACGTGATGACGCGTGTGGTGTGGTTGCATAAAATGCCTACTAATTCGGTCCAAATTTTAATTAATTCAAAAATTTTTTTGTGACCAAACGAAAGGATATTTTTGAAAACTTTCTTCGGCAATATTGTTCTAAATTATAGCAGAAATCGATTGGTACATGTTTTAAGTCGCTAAGTGGTCTGGTTGCCGAGATATGGGCCAAAAACTGCATTTTTTCGAGGTTGTTTGGCTTTTTCGGGAAATCCATGAAAGAAACCCGGAATTTTTATGGCCTATGTTCATCCTCGTAACTTGCTTAACATAATTGCTTTTGGAACTAGTCCTCGATATTGCTTCGTTGAGGAGGAGATACGACTTAAAGCTGCGGACACACATCCATCCATCCATTCATCCATCCATTCATTCCCAGAAAAGACGAGTTAATAAACGCAATTCTCCAGAATGGAAATTGCGCTAAAAAACCTACAACATTGGAAGATATCAATTAAGCACGAACAAGAAGAAAGAAGAAGGAATTATCTTACACTGAAAACGTAGAGGCATCGCCTGTTTGGCTCCCTGTAGTCTGTAGGTAGAAACGGAGTCCTGATGGTCACAGAACGGTTGTTGGCGTCTAGAGTTACCAGCTCATTGCATCCTATAAAAAACAGTTACTTCCCATTTTTAGATTCAATCTCATAGCTTAAAATTACATGGCATATGTAAAGTCAGCAGTGATAAGATAATTAGAGATAGGGAATTACATTTTAACAAACACTGCTTTTTTTTTAATCTAATTTTTTTTAAATTAGATTTTGAGGATTAAAAACACGTTCTTCCAGTCCCTAACTTACCATATAGGTAAGCTAAATAATATATACAAGTGCAGAAAAAAATGTAAAAATGTTTTACCATAGACACCGGGCTGGTAGTAGCAGGAGTAGGTGGTGAGGGAGGTAGAGAACCACCAGAAGGGGGAGTCAGCGGGTCCAAACACACCACTGTTGGTGGTCCACATGTTGAGCCTTGAGTTGTACGCCTTAAGACCTAGGTCACAAAACAAAGTGTATGTGTGTATGTATGCATGTATGTATTTGTAATTAATTTGCATTTGCATAATTTTATTTAATGAACATAATTCATGTATAAATGTACAGGCCTACTTTCTCCTCACTGAAAATTTCAGTGGATTAGATGTTTGGTCTTAAGGTGAAAGATATAGCCTAGCTTTGATTTAAAATGTAGCGTATACTGATCGTGAAAACTTAACGGTAAGCGATATCAACACAATTAATCATAAGGAAACTAAGTATAGTTGTGTCGCTGTAATAAACTCTAACGTATAATTAGAAAAAATGATAGGGGTGCTGAACATAAAACGCTTTATTACCTACACTCGATAAGAAATTGCACAGCGGTGTCGCTCCAAAGCAAGATAGCAATCTTCCACTCAAATGTTTAGGCAAAAACCTGGAAGGTTACCAATGCCAATCGATACAGGTTTAAGTCGTTTGCTAATAAATATTCACGACAGATCCTCAAGATAAGATGACCATACAAAGTGTCAAAATAAAGACCACTGGCAAAACACCAAACAACAGCTGATAGACAGTGACATTAAAGTCCGCAAATGGGGATGGATGAATTGGGCATATCAGGACAAGGGAAGAGGACAACATCGCGAAAAAACGCTAGAGTTAAATCCCCTGGGGAAGAGGAAAGTAAACCGACCAAGGCAATCCTAAAGAAGAAAAGTAGAAATTAACGCAAGGGGTGTTGGGCTTACATATGCGCAAATAGAGAGCGCTGCATGTGGAGAGGTGTGTCTGCAGTCCTTTGCTCCCCATTAGGTAAGTATTAAGAAGACATTGACAACTGCTCCAGGTTAGTGTAAGGCAACTATTATATTCAGATTTGTATTATTAATTATCTTTACCTCTGATCGATGGACAGGAGTTTCTAGTCAACAGTCTGAACGGCTCGCCGTCAGGTAAGTCGATGGCGATGTTTGAAAACTCTTGGTACCTGCAGCAGGCCTTGATGCTCACGTTATTGGAGGAGATGGTGATGTCACCGATTGAACCGTTGGTGGAAATACTGGCAGTGGACACGGCATAACCTCCCGCTTCGGTGAAAGCTGTAGAATAAATGTAAGTATTTATCTTTAGAAATAAATACACGTATTATATGTGTTTATAAATACACTTATTTATATATGAATTATTTGTTTATTTCTAAACAAAAGTGGTCAGATATATATTTAATTTTGTGTTGTAAAATGTATATGTTTATATATATATATATATATATATATATATATATATATATATATATATATACTTTTATCGCTATTCTGTCTGTCCGTAATGCTCTAGAGAAAGCAAAAGGAAATATTAAAGATGGAACATATAGGGATTTTTCAAAACGAAACGAAATATGTACAGTTATAAAGCCTGAAAAGTACACAAAATAAAATGACGTCCTTGATTCTAGAGTAAAAATAGAAGTAATAAACCGGGAGTGATCTCCCCTAAACTTTCTCGAATATTCTTATATAAAACAACAGGGGATGGGAACTCGGGATATAGATCTAGTTATGATTTTTAATCCATTTTAAATACTTAAACTTTTTAAAATAGAATAGAATCTCATAGAAAAAAAGTATTGCGCACCAAGCGAACGCCGAATAAAGATGTTCATAATGGTGCGCAATATTATTAGTACTTTATAATTTTAGATGCGTTTTTGAGAAATCGGAAATAGCGTTAATTAGTACTTCCTGTCAACGGAAATTACTCAAAATTTAACAGAAGGTAGAGAATTAAATCTTTTACTTACAGGTGAAATTTCATTTATATATATGAAATAGTACTCAAGTTATAGGCTTTTGAAAAATAAAATTCAAAGTAGAAAAAGTACCACTTCCGTTTATCGGAAATCGCTCAAAAGTTGATACGGATCTACGATTTTGATAAAATACTAATATATGAAATTTCATCAACCTAGCTGTAACGGTACTCAAGTTATCGTGTTTACACACACACACACACACAGACACACACACACACACACACACACAGACACACAGACATACGGACAAGATTGCAAAATTATGTTTTTCCGTATCAGTGAGGTGTAAAACGTCGAGATTTGTAAAAATCTCGATTTTTTTTTGCACGATTACAATACTTTCTCTATACTACGTATATACGAGAAAGTAAAAAGCAATTGCCGATAAAAATACGCAATAATAATGACGTCATAGGTACTTGATAATAAAGACACTAACAATACCTCCTAATTTATTTTGTCTAATCTTAAAAGTGATCTGTATGCTGAGATTATTTCAGGCGTCTCTTCGAGCATGAAGGAAACACCCCCCCCCCGCAATCCCAGAACGAAAACGAAATAAAAATTATATAGAAAATATATACTTTTATTAGCGTCAACCTTCCCCCCCCCCCCCCCCCGAGATTTTAGTAAACCCCCGAAAAATGTAATTGCCCGCCAAAGAAAACAAATGTTTAAAAGAAACGTTGGCTGCATGAGGTTAGCGGCTAAAACTAGGAATTAGGTCTAGATAATAGAAATCGGGTCTACCTAAAGTCTGTATGATGACTAAATGCGAACAGTTTTCTTTCAGTCTTTTTTTGCTCCGAATGGAAATTTTCCTAGGTATATATTCTCTATTTAAATTATATTTCGTTCGAGGGGGCAGTAGATGTTCTTCGCCCCCCCCCCCCCCCCATATTATATTTATTTATGAACTTTTTAATTAAATAAAATCCTACCTCCCCCACAGTTTACACCTGCAGGTTTAATGAAACAGTATTGACCGCCGGCTGGCCAGGACTCCCAGTCAGGTGTGGTTCCTGCAGGTAAGTTTCTGGTGCAGACTGGAAAACTGTTTGTGGTTCCAGACACGGGGTACTGGACAGGAGCGGCCGGGGACTGGCTCATGGCACTGGAGCCAGTGAAGGAGAACCAGCCAGGTGTGGGATCGAATCCTGTTGGGCAGCTATGAGAGGGTCCTCCAGCGAAGACGACCATTGGTGTTTTAGGCCATTGAACGAGTGGCGAAGCTGTTAAAATGTATTCTTTTAATGAACAAACCTTGAAACTAATTCTAATTCAAGTTTTTTTAAAAATTATCATTTAAATTTTATCAATCAAGACTTACATGATTGAAAAGAATTTATTTGCATTTTTATTAAAGCTGTGCAATATTTATAGAGTTATTCGTCTTTTAAAAAAGTTAAGCGGTTCAGATTAGATCTAAGTGTAGCCTAAAATAATTAGAACGTACGTCCATTTTTCAGTGTCTTGCAGTTTGTGGTGATATCAAATTCATCCGGGCACACACATCGGCAGACGCCTTTCACATAGCTGTAATATCCGGGTGCGCAGTCGACCGTGTTTCCCCCACAATATCTTTCTGTGTGTTTTAGAAAAACAGACACATGCATCATAAATATTTTCATCATCGCGATTTCAGCTTATATTATATTTTCTTGCTTTTTTCTTGTAATCCCAACCAATGTTCATCTTATAATGCAAATTCTTTTTTTAACGTAATTTGAATAAGATGTACGTTCATGGACAAAAATATGGTTCATTAGGTTCCATGAAAATTGATCACAGACAAAATATCCCATTAAAAAGTCCCCAACAATATATGTACATTTTTCTGTGAGAATTTTGTCTGAGATATTTTGTCTAAATTCATTTGTCGTGAGTTAATTTTTCCTGAGATCATTTGTCATGAGATATTTTGTCTGGGATATTTTGTCTGATGTCATTTGTCCTGAAATCATTTGTCCTTTCAATGTTTATTTTATTAGTGTCAATTTAAGGGGTTAATTCATTTGAAAGCATGCTATATTATTCAGTTTAGCCAGGCGTAGGTAGAGTGTTTCTTTTTTTTAAAAATCAAATAAGTCACACTAATATACAGTTATGCACACACACACACACATATATATATATATATACATATATATATATATATGTGTGTGTGTGTCTGTATATATATATATATATATATATATATATATATATATATATATATATATATATATATATATATATACATTAGTTTTTACATATTTTGAAAACAACAATTAGATAGATATTGTTATTGTAAAAGTTAGTATGTCTAAATGAGCATTGGTACTATAAAAATGGAACCTTACCGGTACATTTCAGTACTTGAACAAGCTCAAGAAAGTTGACAGAGTCCGCTGACACCGAGGTGATAGTGTTAAAAAGATCGTCCCTGATTGGCGTGTACGCTTCATTACCGTTCCTTGACCAAGTCTTTATGTAAATCGAAGATATCAGTTTTTTGGTTATATTATGAAAATGTTAGCTCTTATGCTTAATACGTTGGAGATCAGCACTAGCCCTTAATGGTTCAAAGTTGCATAAATATACACATAATGTTCAATGGATTGAATTTTTTTATCAATAGGTCCTCTCAAGGGATAGCCCACACACGACGTCACATTCATAAGGGGAAGGGAGTGTCGTATTTTTGTGACGTGGGTAGAAGGGTTCAAAAAATGTGAACTACGCATACTTTACTTTTTTTTTGTTAGAAACTTTTAGCCGTTATATTAGGCTGTTTTTGTCCATTATAGTAGAGATTGATTAATATAACTAAATTTTGGCTGGGCTAAAAAAAATTTAGTAAATCAAAATCTAAGTTTTGAAAATCTAATAGTGCAATTTTTATACGCGTTTGTATACCGAGAGAAGTAATAATTGTTAGTGGTGAAGGAATGGCTTAATGTAAGATGTGTAAGGATGGTAGGGGTGGTAGTATGGCTTAATGTAAGATGTGTAAGGATGGTAAGGGTGGTGGTATGGCTTAATGTAAGATGTTTAAGGATGGTAAGGGTGGTGGTATGGCTTAATGTAAGATGTGTAAGAATGGTAAGGGTGGTGGTATGGCTTAATGTAAGATGTGTAAGGATGGTAGGTGTGGTAGTATGGCTTAATGTAAGATGTGTAAGGATGGTAAGGGTGGTGGTATGGCTTAATGTAAGATGTTTAAGGATGGTAAGGGTGGTGGTATGGCTTAATGTAAGATGTGTAAGAATGGTAAGGGTGGTGGTATGGCTTAATGTAAGATGTTTAAGGATGGTAAGGGTGGTGGTATGGCTTAATGTAAGATGTGTAAGAATGGTAAGGGTGGTGGTATGGCTTAATGTAAGATGTTTAAGGATGGTAAGGGTGGTGGTATGGCTTAATGTAAGATGTGTAAGAATGGTAAGGGTGGTGGTATGGCTTAATGTAAGATGTTTAAGGATGGTAAGGGTGGTGGTATGGCTTAATGTAAGATGTGTAAGAATGGTAAGGGTGGTGGTATGGCTTAATGTAAGATGTTTAAGGATGGTAAGGTGGTGGTATGGCTTAATGTAAGATGTGTAAGAATGGTAAGGGTGGTGGTATGGCTTAATGTAAGATGTTTAAGGATGGTAAGGGTGGTGGTATGGCTTAATGTAAGATGTGTAAGAATGGTAAGGGTGGTGGAATGGCTTAATGTAAGATGTTTAAGGATGGTAAGGGTGGTGGTATGGCTTAATGTAAGATGTGTAAGAATGGTAAGGGTGGTGGTATGGCTTAATGTAAGATGTTTAAGGATGGTAAGGGTGGTGGTATGGCTTAATGTAAGATGTGTAAGGATGGTAAGGGTGGAGGTATGGCTTAATGTAAGATGTGTAAGAATGGTAAGGTGGTGGTATGGCTTAATGTAAGATATTTAAGGATGGTAAGGGTGGTGGTATGGCTTAATGTAAGATGTGTAAGAATGGTAAGGGTGGTGGGATAGCTTAATGTAAGATGTGTAAGGATGGTAAGGGTGGTGGTATGGCTTAATGTAAGATGTGTAAGGATGGTAAGGTGGTGGTATGGCTTAATGTAAGATATTTAAGGATGGTAAGGGTGGTGGTATGGCTTAATGTAAGAAGTGTAAGGATGGTAAGAGTGGTGGTATGGCTTAATGTAAGATGTGTAAGGATGGTAAGGTGGTGGTATGGCTTAATGTAAGATATTTAAGGATGGTAAGGGTGGTGGTATGGCTTAATGTAAGAAGTGTAAGGATGGTAAGAGTGGTGGTATGGCTTAATGTAAGATGTGTAAGGATGGTAAGGTGGTGGTATGGCTTAATGTAAGATATTTAAGGATGGTAAGGGTGGTGGCATGGCTTACCCTAGCGCCATACATTAGGGCAGAGGATGGATCAAAGAATAAGTTGACAAATTTAGATGATTCGGGAAAGTTGTCATAGCTGTAGATGAGACCTGTGACAAACAAAAACAAACAAATTATATATATATATATATATATATATATATATATATATATATATATATATATATATATATATTATATATATATATATATATATATATATATATATATATATATATATATATATATATTATATATATATATATATATATATTAAATTAGAAGTAAATTTAAATTCATGGCACATAATTATTATCCATTCATTTCTAAAATAAAACTAGATTCTTCTAAACTTTGATTTAAAACAACATTGAAATAAATATTTAAAAATAAATATTTTGAAAAATATCCAAGAAGACGTACTGCTTTGAATATCATCTACGTTAATTGTGATGTAATTTTCCCTGAGAAAGCCTTGATGTGTGTGGGCGACGCCTAACGTGTGCATTATCTCGTGCAAATTAATCACCTGCAATTAAAAAAAAAATCCAAATGATGAACTTGAAATATTAAATGACTTAACGACGGAGAGGTGAGGCTACTACATGCTTTTGTTGCAACTTGCATCGCAACTTTTGACGGGGTAAAATGTAACACTGATTTTTTTCACTCCATCCTTCCGAATCTCTGATTCTTACTTGGCGAATACGTGCATGTGTGATTACAATGCATTTTTATATTTTTCTTTATTTTAATTATATTTTCATTTACGCCTGTTTTTGTCATATGTTTTACATTTTTCTCACGCTCAAGAAATCATGTATACAAATGTATAAAAATCCTCATATATTTATAAATAAATATATATACATTGTATATATGTCTATATATATATATATATATATATATATATATATATATATATATATATATATATATATATATATATATATATATATTTGGGATAAAATTCAAACTGTTGCGGTCTATTATGGATGCGAGGCTCAATGCAGACACCGGGAACTAGAAATGAGATGTTAGGACATAATTCTAATGATTTCATACACCAATCGAATAGAAATGAAAAATCATCAAGTGATTGGTCCTTTTCAGAGCTTGCTAAGCATCGTAAAAACAAAACCAAAAACAACTACTCATATGGTATAGACATATGAAACGATCCAATGACATAACAAAGACAATCATACAAGAAGCGATGTGAGTGTGGAGAATGCGAGGGAATTAAAGACGGAAATGGAGGAAAGCAAGGAATGGACTCGGCTGCCTGATGTAGAAATGCTAAAATCAGCAGGAGGGCGATAGACATTGCAAAACATTATGGAAAAAGTCAATAGTAATGCCCTAAAGCCGCCATGGATATATATATATATATATATATATATATATATATATATATATATATATATATATATATATATATATATATAAATTTTAAGGAAGTTCTTTAATTAACAAAATCTTTTAGGTAGCCAAAACGAACTTACGAAATCCTGGCAAGGAAAGACAATTCTGGGTGAATTTCCAACACCACTTCCTGGTCCACTGTAAGCTGAACACCTGCAATTTCAACCAATCAGATTGCTTGTTTTAAAACACTTTTTCATGGTTTAAAATGATTGGATACAGAAAATTCTATCGAAAGGGTTTACATGTGTGAAGAGTCTGGTTGTAAAAGGCTAAAAGCTTATAGGATTTTAAGATGACGAAAATCTTTTACAATGAGATTTAATTTTCAAAAATATCAAACCGTCACATGTTAAAATTATTTTTACATTTTTTATACAATCAAAGATCTAGCATATTAACATCAAATATTTTAAACGAATTACTTTTTTATAAATATCCTCTTTAAAACATTACATTATGTTAGCAACAACACTTGTATAATGTCTAATTAATTAGACCTCATTACAGTAGTTATCTCACCCTGTGCTGGCCTGGACTGAAATGTAGGTGTCATAGGTGTAACCGTTTTTGGTGAACCAGTTGGGGTCGCTAGAGTTCCATCTGCTGGTTTCATCAACAAATGTCAGACATACATTGTCCATGATGTACTGTAGAGATCTTTTTAACAGCGTCGTGTAGTAAGGGCCTGCAAATGTAACATTATATTAAATGTCGTGTAGCATGAGCTACAAATCAAACATTGTATTTAACAACGTATAGAATGAGCCTGAAAATGAAACATTAGATTCAATGTCGTGTAGTAGGAGCCTGAATAAAATTAGCTTCTGCTAATAACATATCTTAAAATCTCTTTTTTTAAGTTAGAGAATAGGTAATTGAACCACTATTAAAACAAAACATGTATCGTATAATTGATTTTTCTTTTCATGCTAAATAAATAAGGTAACTGGTTGCGCCATATAACTGTTGAAATACGAAGCAGCAATGGATGTAGATTGGACAAATTACATGAAAGTCATTTGATTGGAATCCCCAATGATAGAGGAAAGTGGGTTGGCCAAAACAAAATTTGAATGTTCTACTTTCAGCAAAGTATATCGTGGATTGATCTTGATGATGATAATGGTGGTGATGTTGATGGTGGAGATGATGATAATGATGATGGTGGTGGTGGCGTAAGGATGATGATAATGATGATGGTGGTGTGATGATGATGGTGATGATGATGATGCGCTAGGTTGCACTATAGGAATAAAGACACAATTTTGCTAGAGCACTACCTTACTTTTCTAATACATCTAAGATTTTGTGGTGGTTTTTTTAAGATAAAAACATTTTTAAAATAATTTTTAAAATGATTTTCTGAAAACAAACACACCTGTTCACGTGCTCATATATCAATAAGAGATTATAGGCGACATTTACAAGATTATCCATAAGTTTATAATGAGACATATTTACTGTGGCCTTTTTAGTGCACTCCCGGCATGCGAAAGCTATTTAGACAATCACCCGTTCACGTAACCTCAAGCACAAATTAAGGATTTTTATTTAAATTTCTAAATAAACAAAAACAAAAACATACCACAACTACAATTCACCATGACAAACATTTAAAACAACGTGGAAAACTTACATTCAAACTTGACTCAACACATAAACTTTTGTATTCAATGTTTTTATTTGAATACTTAAGAAGACTTCAACGTTTGCACTTTAGACATTTCCCTGAATCTACTTTTTTTTTTTACCGTATGCTTGGTATGTTGAGTGAATAACATAGGGAATTTTGTCCACCCAGTTGACATCATAGTTGTGGACCGCTCGCTTTTTCCTTGTGAAGTCCCAAACGATTTCCTTTGCTCCCTCATCTTCGTCTTGAGTTGGTGCTTGTGGACTAAATAGCGTGGAGCAAGACAGAGGGATAAATGCATTATTGCTAATCTTCCATAAACATACTTGTGTTCTAATAAATAATACAGAAACATTGGTAATTTTTTCACTGAGCTAATGTTCTTGATCCTAATCTTAAATGTAAGCACTCGTCAATAAACTATAATAAGCATCCTTATTATTGACTCGATACTAACACTCAACAATAAAGCGACACTTTCATATTTTTAAAAATACAAAATGTTAACTACAACATAAAAATTTAAAATATGTATTAAATACTGACTGCTCTATTAAATTCAATATCAAATTGACGTTTAAACTTGAGCTACATTTTCTTTTAATTTCTGAAATTATTTTTCCTGTCGAATAAAAAAATACAATACACCTAAAATGATTTTTTTTTCTAAAATGAAATCAACCAACGATTTTAATCTACAGCTATCACGCTAAACCAAAAGCATGATAAGCTTTTTTTCTAAATACGAAACCGTGGTTTCGAAATAATGTCTTCATCGGCAAAGACCCAGCTGTATACATACGCGGGTGGTGTTGTCTGTTGCTGTACAGCGTGCAGATGTTTTCTGTCCACCTCCCTCTTCTTCATGATGACGTTCTGGGAATATTCATTGTCCCTCTCTTCGTACACGCGGGCGGTTATCATCTGTAGAATAGAAACAATAGGTGGTCTAGTGTAAAACTAATGTGAAGCTGATGCTCTAGAAGTCTGTTAAATAGTTCCGCTAAACACAAAAACCCAAAATAATTCTTACCAAGAAGACAAACCCAACATAAAGAGGGTATAAAGTAAGAGAATAATCCATCAATTTCATAGAAACTTTCCACACACACATAAACATATATACATTATATATATAATATATATATATATATATATATACATATATATATATATATATATATATATATATATATATATATATATATATATATATATATATATATATATATATATATAACATATATATATATATATATATATATATATATATATATATATATATATATATATATATATATATATATATATATATATATATATATAAACATATTAACATTTTACTTTTAAGTACATTATCAGACATATTGAGATGTTTATTTTATATAAAATAATTTATGTCAATAAGAATGGATTTCAACGTTGAATATCCAAAAAAACGATAAGAATAGATCTGTAAGTTTCTTGATTTTAATAACAATATAAGATTACACCATAAAAGCGTTTAAACGGATATATATCTTGACCATGTATTAATAATCCACTGCTATAGACTAGAGGCAACGACATTGACATTTTTTTTCAGGTGAAAAAAAAAACAAGAACTTACAGCTGCGGCCTCATTTTGAGCCGCCATAGCGTCAATACTATCAACAACAGCCTCGTTTTCAGTAGCGTTGTCTGTCCTCTCGCGGCTGCTGTCTTCGGCGTTGGACTATAGCACACACAATGATAAGTTATTAGGTATATTATTACAATACTTTATTTAAAGTGGGAGATGTTTCAAAATGTAGTTCCCTTTATACAGTGTAGACATTTCTTTCAAAGACAAATTCAATGAATCGTGTAATGAGCTCTAATATTTAAATTTAATATTCAGACCACAGTGGGTTTAATGACCCAGTTTTTGCTTCCAGGTATCTGTTCGAAAAACTTCTAGCATCCCCCCCCCCTCTCCCCCGCCACCCAAAAGAAATAGAATTTATATAGAAAAAATATACTTGTACTAGTGTCCGCCCCTCTGGCTGGAAGAAAAAATAGTTTGAAACACTACTCTATCCACAAGGAAAACTTACGACTTTCTGAGTCTCGATTGCTTGAATTATTCGCAGTTTGCGAGCCTTGCCCTCGAATCGGGTTTCGTGGTTTTTTTCATCTTCAAGTTTGTTGATCTGATCCCTTTTAGCTCCAAGATTAGCTTTAGGATTTTTCTGCGACACTCTGATTAGCTGCTCAGTCCCCTAAGAAATTTATATATATATATATATATATATATATATATATATATATATATATATATATATATATATATATATATATATATATATAAATATAAAATATATATAAATATAAATATAAATATATATATATATATATATATATATATATATATATATATATATATATATATATATATATATATATAAGATTTCATGAAGCAAAATAAAGGGTAAGCATTTTTAAATATATTCTGCTCCAATCAAGTATATTTGTAGATATCGTGTTGGCTTTAATGTTTAGCTTTGAAGATTAGCGTTTACCTTTGGGCGTAAACCCTTCGGCCATGGTTATTCTTCAATTATAATTGACGATTTAGCACTAAACGTTGCCTAGCTTAACCCATAGAGTGTTGAGGTTTAATAATTTATATTAGACTTGATTTCAGACAAATTATGTTTTTAAAATGTGAATCCCTACTGAATGCTATTATCTATTTATAGAAGAGGTAAAGGCTTACCATGCAGTATAAACTGATAACATCATTAAATCATGTTTTACCTTGTGGGACTTGTCTGACTTCGCTAGAGCCAGTTGCAAGAGAAGTAGCGTGAAAGCTGCTTGTATGAGCATCATCCTGTATGTTCGAAATCAACAACAAATCGAAAGATAGATATAAACAAACTGAAGCAAGGCGATATTAAGTGGTTAGTCTGTTTAATTGTTTGTCATTTCACTAGGTTTTCTACGTGATTATAGAAATCTTAACATCAAATTTTATTTTTTATTTTTTTATTTTTAGTTGTGTGTATCTTCTGTTTTAAACAGCGATTTTTATGTTTATTATAATTGGGCCATCAAAAGCTAATTGTCTTACGCTCATCGATATTTTTATTTGATATCAACGTTGATCTAGTTCAAAAGTGACAAGTAAATGGCTTTTATATCTCTATCGGATTTTTAATTTCACATATTTCTTCAACAAGGATTTATTTTTAAACGGGTAAGCTTTAAAAAATTGATCTAATGAGTAATAACACACAGCGCTGTGAGGCAATATAATAACAGTAGAAATGATGGTCTTTTATACCGACAGAATAACGACATATTGAACTTGAACCTACTCATATACAGTCACACATTATATATATATATATATATATATATATATATATATATATATATATATATATATATATATATATATATATATTAATGTCACTGAAAATCGCTGCTGTATGTTAAATATTAATTCCTTTTTAAACCAAAACTAAATGGTAAACCAAATTATTTTTTTTTTAAATCTCTGGTTACTTTAAGATTAAGATACGTATCACATTATCTGACAATGTAGTCCATAGCAGCAATCAAGCTTTTAGACTTAGTTTAACTACAAAATAAGCTCCGCTATGTTTTCGTTGTATAATTTTAATTCAAAATATATTTATTTTTTTAAAGTCAGGTGGACAAGTTCGCCGAAGCCTGTAATATGCCAAGTACAAACTGTATTTGGTTAAACAAAATATGTTATTTAAAAAAAAAACATTAGTAAGAAACGAAACAAGTAAAAAAGATTCTAACTTTGATGGAAGAGTTCCTCGTCTGTGATCAACAAAGGTACAACGAAGACGGTGGAAGATCTCCACGGTCAAGTGCCGTTTGCTAAAATTTTCGAGCCTTATATAACAAAACTTTTCTTTGAATGCATCTTGTTTTTCAATATATCATAATTGAATTGATGTACATAAAGAAATGCACGTACAATCACAATAGAAATATTAATATAAGAATAAAGATAAAAAGCAATAACTGTTTCGGTGATTTTTCTCACCGCTCGAAATGACCAGATGTTATCAAATAAGATTGATAGGTTATTTTTTTGTTGTTTTTTTTTGTAAAGGAATGTTTGCAATTTTTCAAGATGCTACAGTAAAAGGCTCATTTCATCTGTTTTATGTTTTGATATCAATATTGAGATCTATTTTTTTATATATTTCACAATAAAAAAACGGCAACAATAAATAACAAAGAATATGTGTAATAAATTAATCTTGCTGAACCATGTGATAAAGACAAATAACTGATTTTTAAATATATATAAATATATTTTTTGCGTTTGGCTGAATAAATGTAGGCATATTTATCTAGCCTAAGCACAATGTCGTATAGTACTGCACGTGTTTGATTAAACTGTTACTAGCTGCATACCCGTGCTCAGCCAAGGTAAATCTTTTATATGTACCAACTATGGAACCAACTATGGAACAGAAGAAAACTAAACACAAACAGAAAAGAAAACTCAACGCAAACACAAACACAAAAGAAAACGCAAACGAAAATGCAAACACAAACGCAAACACAAACACTAACACAATGCCAACACAAACACAAACGCAAAAAAAATTAAACCACAAACACAAACGCAACACGCTAACACAACCACAAAAGACAAAAATAACGCAAACAGAACGCAAAAGTAAACGTAAACACAAACACAAACGCAAACGCAAACACAACACGCAAATACAAACGCAAATCTAAACGTAAGGAATAATGCATAACATAAAAACAACTTAAATGCAAACATAAACATAGTGTTCACAGTCTAGCCCGAGGCGTCAAATCGAACGCTTCCGGGGCTCCGGCGGAATTGCTTGATTCAACTTAGTAAACGACTATAATATCCCAACTTATCCATAGTCTATTGCACCCACTTAAACGAATGTATGCGCCATAGCGCTCATGGGGGTACCGGGACGCCAAGTAGCGCTCTGTTGGGGCGCCGGAGGACGCCCTGGTTTCGATTTAGTGAACGACTATGGTAACCAATTTTACCCACAGCTTATCGCACTCTTTAAAATGAAAGTATGCACCATAGCATTCACATATAGTCTAAGGCGCCAAATCGAACCCTGCCCTGGTTATTAAAATGTATAATTTTTTTCTAGGAATCTAAGCGATAATATTATTTGACATTAATTATTTTAAAATGTTTTAGCAATGTGCGTGTATTTAATATTTTCTACTTTATGCAAAAGAGCAAAAACTGTCACAACTGTAAACAAAAACGTTATATAAATAGAAACTAATCCTCTACCTACAATAATACCCTGCGATGCAAGTAAAAAGCCCGGTATGTGTTGTTCCTTTTTATGGTTCCAAAATCTATAGCTATGACGGACTGACTGACCGAATGACCGACTGACACACTACCACCAGCCTTATTTTATAGACTAGCTGCATAACCGTGCTCCGCCACGGTTAATCTTTTTAAATGTACCAACTTGGGAACAGAACAAAACTAAACGCAAACACACAAAAAAAACACAAACACAAGCACAACGCAAAAACAAACACAAACGAAAACACTAACACAACACAACACAACTCAACACAAACGCAAACGCAAACGCGAACGCGAACGCAAACGCAGACGCAAACAAAATACAATCACAATCACAACACAAAACAAATTGAAACACAAACATAAACACAAAATAAAACGCAAACACAAACGCAAACACAAACACAATGCAAGCACAACAACAAATGCAAATGCAAACAAAACAAAACCGAAAACGCAAACACAAACACAAACGCAAACACAAACCCAAAAGAAAACGCAAACGCAAACACACATAACGCAAAGTCAAACACAAACACAAACGCAAACACACAAGAAAACGCAAACACAAACGCAAACAATAAAGCATAACATAAGCACAACTTAAATGCCATCATAAACGCATAGTCCGATTGAAGTAAAACGCACAGCATGTGTTTGTGTACTATTTTATGGTCCCAAATTCTATAGAGATCACGGAATGACTGACTGACTGACACACTACCACCAGCCTTATAATATAGATAATATATTTGCCAAAGCTGGGGCTCCTTATTTTCATTGATTAAACTCATCGCTCTTTAGGTACCTACCCTAATTGTGTTTCATTTAATTTTTAATGCATCTCATAATTAGGAAATAAAATTAAAATTAACCTATCAAAACAGATGAGGTTAGTCACATAATTTTAATTAAACCATCATATCAGATAAGAAAGTTTGTCACGGAATTAAAATCAACATTAATTATAGTAATGATTAGTATTCGTTACCAATATTAGTGTATCACTTATATATTATATATATATATATATATATAATATGTGTGTGTGTGTATATGTGTATCCTTTACATTTATATTTACATATTTATAAGACATGCATGCTAAGTTTTATGATTTAACTAAAAATGTTTGATAATTACAATTAATAAAAACTTTTACAGCGTAGCTCCCAATGCGACGGGAAAAAAATGTATCTCCCATTTACAATGTTTGTGTTACCGTTTGATCACGCGGCTAAAGCTATAAAAGCCAGTCGTCGTCAATACAATAGACGCCGTTATGGTTCTCAGCGTGCGTGTATTGGACGTGATCAAAGAGAGCCGACAAATGAGACCGTCGCTTCTCTTTGATAAGCATCTGAGTGGGGGGTTCTTTTTACTCCACCTGTTGTCTTTACCATTAAAAGAAATGTTTGACAAGTTCTTGTTTGATACTACTATCATCCGAAAAGATACATCTTTCTGGGTGCACAGAGTTAAAGCACCATTTTAAAACCAGGCAAACCCCCTAACGTAGAGTTCGTGTGATGTTAGTGAAAAGGCACACGACTAAATTGTGTTGATATAATGTTTAGAGTAGACAGTATCTTTCGATTATAGTCAGGTAAGTTTCCCGTCCAAAGAAGATCAAAATGTTGAAAGAAATTTCACCATGTGTCCACACTGCCATGCAGGTCGACTTTATGACTTTATGGTAATTAGTTTTTCTTGTACTTCCGTGCTTTTGGTGTCTTTGTTCTGACAACAGCTGTGCTTAACCATATCTTCAAAAGCATCAACTAAAACACATTTATACTAGAAATTTTTTGGAGATAGTATTCGGTGTCATTTATAAAACAGGTGAACAGTGCTGCATACATACACCATCCTAGGGCTAGTACAGTCAGCTCTACTACATCCAATTGTCGATACACTTGAAATGAAATAGCCTAACCATTTGATTCTTATTGCTTGTTTCGTTTATATTAACAATATTTATGTGTGTGTCTTCTATTTTTAAACAAGTATTTAATACAATTCTATAATTTAAAAAAAAATATTAATGTGCATGTGAAAAATTAATTCATTAACTATCTAGATTTAATGGATATTTTATTGAGATCAAAATGTATTTTTTTTAAGTTCAAGAAAATACTCGCCACAAAAATCTTTCAAAATCAAGACCTTTCACACGACCCCGTTTAAAGAAATAAAAGATAGTCGAGGCACTAGTAGATTTCTAGCTGTACTTAAATTACCTGATTAGGAATATGGTCAGCAGGTAGTAAACTGTTGTTAATACATATTTTGGTTTTTCTATAGGCACTTTACAAATATGTACCAGATATTGAAAATGTTCAAAGTAATATCTCTATATCTTTAGCCTTTTAACCGTATGCAAAAAAAATTTCAGTAGCTTTGAACAATTGTCCAATTTTAATTGTCTCACATATAACGACATCGTCCCACACTCTCAATTTAAAAAATGACACCATCATTTGCGGTATTATCAAATGAACAGACGACATATGCAGCTATGTATACCATTTGATCACGTCTGATAAATACAAATTATTATTTTTTTTGCATTTTGATACAATTGGCATCATCAACTTATATTATCTGCTCGACGCTGCATTATTCTTAAACCTTCTGTTAAACCGGGGAAAAAGTATGTCTTTCTTTTTACGAAAAACATTAAAATGGATTTGAACTTCTGTTATTTTGATATCATTTTAAAATGACTACCAATAACGTTGATATATTGGAATGGAAAATTCTTTATTAAACCCATTAAGCGTCGAACGAAAAAAGCCTGTGTACATATATATATATATATATATATATATATATATATATATATATATATATATATATATATATATATATATATATATATATCCATACAAACGATCTCAAGTTACAATCTTTCCTGAGCCAAAATATCTCTTGACAACCCTGCATATATCATACTACTTCCAACTTAAATCTTTTAACCCTCTTCTGCACTCAACCGTTTACAGTCATTACTCTCGTGAATCGCGATGCATTTTTACTTTCTCGTATATACGAAGTATAGAGAAAGTATTGTAATCGTGCAAAAAAAAAATCGAGATTTTTACAAATCTCGACGTTTTACACCTCACTGATACGGAAAAACATAATTTAGCAATCTTGTCCGTATGTCTGTGTGTCTGTCTCTGTGTCTGTCTGTGTGTAAACACGATAACTTGAGTACCATTACAGCTAGGTTGATGAAATTTCATATATAAGTATTATATCAAAATCGTAGATCCTGATCAACTTTTGAGCGATTTCCGATAACCGGAAGTGGTACTTTATCTACTTTGAATTTTTCAAACTTAAGTACTATTTCAGATAGATAAATGAAATTTCACACGTAAGTAACAGGTCTAATTCTCTACCTTCTGTCAAATTTTGAGTAATTTCCGTTGACCGGAAGTACTCATTTACGCTATTTCCGATTTCTCAAAAAACGCATGTAAATTTATAAAGTACTAATAATATTGCGCACTATTATGCACATTTTGTTTTGGCGTTCTTTTTTTTATGAGATTCTATTCTATTTTTAAAAGTTTAAGTAATTAAAAGTCATGTCTATATTCCGAGTTATATAAGAATATTCGAGAAAGTTTAGGGAAGATCACTCCCGGTTTATTATATTTCACTGTCAGGTTAGGAAACCAAATATCCTATCCAATCAAAACCTTACAGAAATCAACAATAAAAAAAATTAATTTTTAATTTTTTTAAATTGTTTAATGATGATTTTTAAGTAGAACAGATATTTGAAGGTCCGTGCAGTAGTCCATCCAAGCATTTACAGTATATGTTTTTTTCCGAATTTGCTTGCATCACACTAAAAATACATAAATAAACAAGTTTTACACTGAGAGTCTTAATAAAAAGAAAAGAAAAATCTTAATGATAACTACTCCTCATCCGAATAGGTAAAAAAACAAATACATTGGAAATGTTAACTTTTTACCGCAATGCGGACTAAATTTCTAATACACGTAATGATGTTGAGGTATATGTACAATGATACAATGGGCAGAGTTTCTTTCACGCTCCCACCATCCCTGCACCACACACACACACCGAAGCACGTCCACCCCCTCCCGAATGAAAGGGGGTAAAAATAATATCTCTAAAATATATACTTGTGTCCACCCCCACCCCCCACCCCCAACGCCTCTCGGAAGTTTTAATTTAGGCCCGCATTCTTCTCCCCTCCCCCGCCCTCTCCCTGAAAGAAAAACTGACAAGTGGGTCCCTCCGGAATGTAAGTAGCTTTAAGACCTATTGATTAATACCAGCTTACTAGTAAGATCGTTACGGAATATTATTCCTATTTAACAATTTAGTAGTTAGAGAGAAATCATAATCGTTTAGTTTATTTAACTTTGTACACCAGATTTTTTTTTAAAAAGCAATTTTTATTCAATCAATCATTGTATCAAGAGTATTTTGTGTGCTAGAGTATTTTACATGATCAGTTACAATAGACAACGTTAGAATTCGGTTAAATACCTGTTTAATCTCTCCCCATATATCACTCCACTACATACCATCCTCCACCTCCCCCCATCCCCCCCCCCCCTTTTCACATACACACACACACACACACACACACAGCAACCTAATCGTCTCCTCACACAAAAGTACCTGGTTCGAGTCTCACTCCCACCGAGGCCATAATACAAGCGCTGGTGGTCACCACAGGTTTGTTGGTCAGCTCGAAAAAGGTGTTAGCAGTGGCCGTACCCACGGTGCTGAGTTTCTCCATGGCCTTCTTGCAGTCGGTGGTGGAGATGGTGTTGGTCGCCAACGTGAACATGCCGATGACGTCATCGGGCTGGACCGTGATTTGGCTGGCCGCGGGGACGTAAAAACTCCACTTGATTTCGGCGTTGGGGCACGTGACGTTGTTAGCACCGACAAACGTGTAGCCGGTACTGGGGAAATGACACGAATTTTTTTTTTTTTACTTTTAGGTCGTTAAAAAAATAAAGAGTATTAATAACATATGATTGGGTGCTAGTTATTATCCTTAAACCTTAACGATCGTTTCGCTAGTATCGTCGCTACAAAAAAAAATCACCTTAAAATCCAGCTAATCAAAAAGCAAAATAACATAAAATTCTTAGTACGAAATATTTTTGCCCCATTCTCTTTTCGCTCTTTTCGACCTCTCCACCTCCCCAATCCCCACACGCAACATAAAAGGCCAACCAATCTGTTTTTGCGCACACGCAACGGAAATCAATATTTAATAAACAAAAATTATTGTCAGTGCGTGCAGCATTGACGTCAAGTCGCGTGGCTTGCGTTAGAACTAACACAAAAAACACTATCAACTAGATACCAGTAGCGTAGCGATGGGGGGGGAGGGACATATGTCCCCGGGCGCCGACCTTAGGGGGCACCAAAATGGGTTGGAAAAATAAATTGAAAGGTTGAGGGGGGTGCAAATCGAAATCTTGAGGAGGTGGGTACAAATCGAAAGTTTGAGGGGGGGGGTGCAAATCGAAAAGTTTGTCCCCGGGCGCCGGGAAGGGTCGCTACGCCTCTGCTAGATACATTTAGATATTAAAAAAAACGCTTTTATTGAATGTTTCAAAGAAACTGCTTATCGTAAGATCTAAACTAAAATGTTTTTTTTAGGATATAAAAAAACGTCTAAACGCATGAACTCTCTAGTTGAAAGCGATCAAACAAAACTTTTTCAAGCTATGCATAACGTCTCAAAATAAAACGATTACTAATACGCTATGATTCTTTTTTAATTAGATTAGAGTAGATTGCTAACACAAAATACATCTTTAACCAGAACAGAAACACTAGGAATTCATCACGATCTGAAGCTTATTCTTGTTTGACTCAGCCGCTAGACATGTTTTAATTCAATACACAATTATTCTCGCATTAATTGGAGGTAAATTCCCCATATATATATATATATATATATATATATATATATATATATATATATATATATATATATATATATATATATATATATATATATATATATATATATATATTTATATATATATATATATATATATATATATATATATATATATATATATATATATATATATATATATATATATAATATTATAGGTATATAACGACGCCACACGGTATCAAGGTTACTACAAATAATTATCATTAAAAAAGTTTTAAAAAACCCACGTTTTCTGATTGAACTAAAAAGTAGAAAATAAATGCTATACATCACAATAATGCAAGCGATCACTCTACTATAAGCGATGAAAAACGTGGGGCGCCGAAGTAAAAGTTATATTACTATTGATTAGATAATACTATTGACTTTTATTAGGGAGCTTGTAGAGAGTCAACAGTATTAGAAACTGTAAGAAAATCACGGCGCCCCACGTTTTTCATCGCTTATAGTAAAGTGATCGCTTGCATTATTGTGATGTATAGCATTTATTTTCTACTTTTTAGTTCAATCAGAAAACGTGGGGTTTTTTTAAACTTTTTTAATGATAATTATTTTCTACTTTTTAGTGTTTGTCTGTTTGTTTGCATTAAAATCTTGCTATCGATTTTATCTTTTCGCATTCACTTTTTTTTTGGGTTAACGAAGACAACTCGTAAAAAACACGTGCCTTGAACCCGTGTCGAGTGGATTAGCAATCGTGTGCCCAACCACTCGACCATATCGTCTCCCCCATACTGGCCACCAGTTGTTCTGGTTGTTTGTACACAAACACCGCGTGAACACTACTCAGTAAGCAAAGAAGGAGAGTACCGAACCTTGTTTTCATCAAATTACAGTTACTGGGTTATGTCCCTTTTTCCCCCACGTTTTTACTACAATTATATAGCGCTCTAAAATGCTCAATAAAATGTTTCCATGGATCAATTTAGTAATAATAACAATTGAATATTCTATTGTCATCCAAAACAAAGCTTCCCTGAAAATGTCAGCGCGCTAGCTAACTGGGAAGTGCCAGAAATTTCGATCGCAAGATTTGATTGGAAAGACAGAGACGAAAGCAAGTTAAAGAAAACGTGGGAAAATGCAATCAAAATGACTATGTTCCTCACTCTACGGTCCTTAGGAGAGCTTAAGGGAATACATATATAACCAAAACAGTTAAAAATACTTCAGTATTATTGCTCATACTATTTTTTTAATTTACATACAACTAAAATACAGAATTTAAAAAAAAAAAAAAATAATTACCTAGCTCTTCTAAAGATCATCATGCTGACAGTAGGGGAGGTAACAACGGCTTTACATTGATAGTACCATCTTGTTATTTTTCCGGCAAAGGGCATTCTATACAAGAAGTATCACACTCAAAATAAAGATGCACAACTAAATGTCTAACCTCAGATGTTAGTAGTAAAATGGAACTTCAGAAATGGGTGGGACTCTCTTAAAATCACTTGAAGAGTAAACATTGAAAAGTTAAGTTACGGTTTCGAAACTGGCGGCCTAGTGATTAGATGAAGTAGAGTTCACCTGTTCATGTTACCTTGGCATAAGAAGAAATAGTGTGGTCATACTATGCTCAGCCACCATTATTTCATAAACTAAAACATAATACCCCAAAATAAAAGATCTGAAACTCGCAATGAGATCTCTTCTTCTTCTTCGTTCTTAATTTTTAGTAATGGAAGGGATCGAGCCTTATCTGCCAGAGGGTTTGAACTCGAGACTTTTTCGAATTTATCAACCATGTGCTTTAGCCGACTCGACCATGCTTCCATCACAATTAAGGATTACGTGTCAACTGGTAATGCGCCATACAGGCCATTGACTCCGACTTCAGCCTGCTTTTCGTTTTGGATTTGCTTCCATAGCCTTTGTCCAACTAAGAACAAACTACAAGGCAGCAGTTGATTTTGGAGTTGTCTCTCCTAAAAGAGAGGCTGTTCCCTGCTAACGAGCCTCATCTGCCCGAAGGTTCGAACTCGAAACTTTTCGGTTTAGCAACCATGAGCTTTACCGACTCGACCACGCCGACACCTCGCCCTGAGATAATTCCTCAGAATAAAAGATCTCAAACTCGCCAACATGAAAACAACATACAGCACCTATACTCAGACGTGTCCATGATGTGCACAGTTTTGTCCTTTAGTGGGGTCTGTCTCATGAACACACCATTTAGGTTCACGTCAGTGGCTACAGGGGTCTCTGTTGAGGATCGAATGGTAAATGTTTTGTAATGGGTCGAGTGATAATGAACGTGACACACAACGATGCTGAACGTGACACTCAAAAAGTCATGTACAAAGTGTGACACTCAAAACGTCATGCACATAACGTGACACGAAATGATGCATGCACATAATGTGACACTCAAAGCGTCATGCATATAACGTGACAATTAAAATCGCATGCACCATAGCGTGACACACAAAACGTCAATCCAATATTTGGCATAAGCAGACAGAAACACAGCATATCCCAAACATCACCATGACACGTACTGCATGAAAAAAAAAACACCACAGCAACATGACCACCACATCACAATATAAACCACAAACCCAACTAAACAACCTTCTAACACCGACACACGGATATCACTTAACATCACTGACCTTGACACACAGGTTCTGACCCAAGCAAGGCACCGCTGACAGAACAGGCGCGGGTCAGATCACCGGACACGTAGAAGTACCCAGCATTACAGGCGAAGGTCACGGCCTCGCCGGCCTTGAGTGTGCTTGACCCGGAAGTAATCGAGTAGGTGGCGCCGCCAGCCACTGAACACGTTTCCCCACCTGGAGAAAAGATGAACACACTTCTAACACGGCCAGAAGACACCAAGAAGAAAAATTATTTTATTTTATAGTGAATTCTTGGATTTATTGTTCAACATTATAAACTCAAAAATAGCCTACTTGTAACAAATCTAAATCGTATCCACCACAAGATTTCGTCAGTTGTTTTTTTTTTGTTACTTCAAAAAGCCTTGTGTCTAAAATTTAGTTTTGATAAATTTTGCTTAGTCAAAACTTTGTTTCTTTTTCAATGAGGTTAATCATTAATCTGTTTTATCCCACGCAGGCCTATGTCAATGCCAAGGTATAATAATGCCTAATTAATTATTAGTTCCCTTACCAGCGCAGCGTCCGCAAGATTTGGAACAGTACTGTTCCGCTGTCGCGTTGGTGTTGGGGTGGGTGCAGAACTTGGGTGATGACGCCATCAGCTTATCACAGTTTGTCCCTTTGTCGGCACAGGGGGCTTCGAAAATTCACGAAAATTTACACAAACAGTCAATATCTTGGAGGATAGACCACTTTTTATCATTGAATAATACCTACATACTTATAGTAAATTACACATACACACACACACACACATATATATATACATATATATATATATATATATATATATATATATATATATATATATATATATATATATATACGAGATTTTATCCAAATAAAGGGTTATAATACTTTGAATAAAATAAGAGAAAATACAAGCATTTTGTTTTAGCCGAATTTCTGCGTTAATAGAAGCCTTGCATCTAAATTGGTTTTTTTAGAGCTTTTTGACTACAACAAATCAATTTAATTATTAAGGGAAATTAAACAATTTTTTTCTTCGTAAAATATCTAAAATGACTGAACCTAACCTAAAATCAAACTTTTAAATGAAAAATATTTTTTTACGGCTGTTATGTGTATTAGTGTCTTAAGGCTGAGGCAGAGGGGGCTGAAAATATGTTGCAATGATTACCTTTGTGACATTAAGTGACAATTGTACCTTTGTGACAGTACGTAACAAAGAGTACATTTGTGACAGTGTGTGACAAGGTTTACCTTTGTGTCAATGTGTGACAAGTTTTACCTTTGCAAGCTTGTAATAAAGTCGACCATCCATCGGCTGTGCACATCATTTCATTGACAGGCTCCACATCGCTGTCCTTACATTTGACACCTACGATCTCTCCTTCCTTGTACGATGATTTGGGCGTATCGACCAGCACACCATCGGCAGGTAGGGTAGGGTCTCCACAAGTTGCTGAGGACAAAAACGCTTTCCATATTACGCGACTTTATTTATTTTACGTTTCACTGTGTTCAAATTGGGTGAATAAAAACGTTGTGTTTAAAGTAGAATCAAAAGAATGACCAGTATTTATAAATTAGAATGCATTAGATCAATACAAAAATTATTTAAAACTTTATCAACAACTCTTTCAATTCGTGCCCAAGACACACGAACAGATGAATTAGAGTGCTTCTGTTTCAATGACCTTAGCATAGGGGGATAGTTTAGTTTCACCACTTTGAGTCTGCTACCCATCGGAGCTGGGTGTACTTGGGACGTCCTTCACACTCTATCCTGGGATCCAAACTGCAGAATTTCGCGTTTATAGTCGTAAGCTCTATCATTCCCATTTACTCGCCATTTGATGCTCTATTCAAATTCTTATAAATATTTTGGGATTTTCAAACGTAATTTTTAAAAAACGTTAATAGTTGAAGATTTAAAGTAACATAGTAACTAGATTAATCGAAATTGATAACATCTGTTAGGTAAATAGGATGCACCTCATTAAATATGGCATACATTTGAAGTAACAATCCAACAAAACGTAATTCGTGGACCTATACATCAACCGGTTTGAACGAAATGTCCGTGTTCAGAATAGTTTGTCTTAATTTGTTTGCTACAAACAAGGTGTAGCTAGGTGGATTAGAAATTATTATTGTCTCAATATTCTAACTGTAGAACTTTTGCTCGTTTAACTCACGTATACTACACTGAACTCTAGTTCATATATATTGATAATACATAATAAAACAAGGGATAAATAGGGCTTATAGATAATAAATGTTGAAATAAAAAATACAAAAGGTATTTAAAATACAGGACAACACTGACCTCTAGCTGTCGGCTGTTGTGAAAAGCCGCATGACTTGAAGCAGCGGAAGCGCTGAACCCCTGATTTGCAGAAGTCTGGGTTGGCCGAAATCAGTGAAGTGCATTGTCTGATGGAATCAACTGGCACCACTATGTAATCAAAATACTTGATCAATACATTGTTTGAATCAACTGGCGCCAATCAAAATACTTGAACAATACATTATTTGAATCAACTGGCAACACTATGTAATCAAAATACTTGAACAATACATTGTTTTAATCAACTTGCGCCAATCAAAATACTTGAACAATACATTGTTTGAATCAACTGGCGCCAATCAAAATACTTGAACAATACATTGTTTGAATCAACTGGCACCACTATGTAATCAAAATACTTGATCAATACATTGTTTGAATCAACTGGCACCACTATGTAATCAAAATACTTGAACAATACATTGTTTTAATCAACTTGCGCCAATCAAAATACTTGAACAATACATTGTTTGAATCAACTCGCGCCAATCAAAATACTTGAACAATACATTGTTTGAATCAACTGGCTCCAATCAAAATACTTGAACAATACATTGTTTGAATCGACAGGCGCCAATCAAAATACTTGAACAATACATTGTTTGAATCAACTGGCTCCAATCAAAATACTTGAACAATACATTGTTTGATTTAACCACTTTTAGGAGTGGTGGTTGGGGAGGGGGGGGGGGGGGAAGGGGGGGAGAAGGAAGAACTAAACAATATTTGAAAAGTATTTTAATTGTCTACAGCCTAATAATAGATCTACTGCTGTGATGTGTGTATGCCTTCATGGTCAAGACCGACCAACAAAGGTTAAAGTAAAAAAAAGTTCAAGCGATGTTAACGTGTCAATCAGTGTCTGGTTGTATACAGTATGTTAAACCCAGCACTCACTTGCGTTACAGGCGTCGCAGTAGCGTTTGTCGCAGTTGGATCCGTTCCTGGCAACGTAGCACCAAGGCTGTATGAGATCATTTCCGGGATTCCGGCAACCGTTTCCGCCACTCAGAATGGAGTATTGACGAGCACTAGTTTTGCAAGTAAATTACTTAAATTTGATTACATAATTATTTTAATTAATTAATTAATAGTAAAAAAAATACAGTTATTTACATCAGTTTTAAGTTCTTGGGGGTCGTCCATAAATGGCGTCACACTCGTAAGGGGGTGGGGGGGGGGGGGGGGGGGTCCGTAATTTTGTGACGGTGTTTAATGAGAAGGTGGGGGGGGGGGGGGTTCAGATGGTGTGACGGCACAATTTTGCATTATAAAAAAAGCAATGCCAGAAAACGAGTTTTAGCCGTTATTTTGCGTTTTACAAAACGTTTTACAAAAAAAAATTGTAATAGGAATTGATCAAAATACTCTATGTTGACATAGTTTTGAGGGGGGGGGTTGTAGCCTGAGGTGTGACGTCCGTTTAGGGGGGGGGGGTCTGGCTTTTTGTGACGGAGGGGAGGTATAAATCGTCCAAAAAAGGCGTGACGTCATTTATGGATGACCCCCCTTGTTCATAGCAATATAAGACAACTCATCTATTAATATAAAAGTAATGGGTTTAAACTCGTAGTAAGCCTATGTACCAGCTATTAAAACATCTACTCACATTGTCGAGAAGCTATCACACTCAATAGTTTCAGACCAGGGCAGACAACTCTCCGCTGTTTCAGTTACATCTGTTTTACCGTAGTAATCGTCTCCCTTGTCAAAGTAGCATTGATCTTCAGCTAGTTAATTTAAATGTAATCGTTACAATCGCTACAAAAATCATGCCCGAGTGCAGCTATAAATTAAAGTAACCCGTCCGATCTACCCTAAAGATTGGGTCACGGAGTTATCGATTGCTAGAGCGTTCGATTGCTAACTCGATAGTCTCGAGTTCGGATCCCGGGATTGAGTCCGTACGACTTCCCTGAGCCCACTCAGCCCTAATTGGTACCTGACTCACGTTAGGCTAGGTAAATACTGTAGGCATAGCACTATCATTCTTATGCTGAGGTCATTAAAAGAAGTAAACTCTACTTCGCCATTCCCATAAACAGTAAGGTTCCAAAGGGTAATTTTCTAACTCACACTAAAGAATATTAAATAAAATGTTGCTATATTTGTATTTAAAAATTCAGTTTAGATAATAAAATCTATTATATCAAGTAAAAATTATTCCTCGCGAAGCAAAGATGCTTAAGCAATTGAGTAGTTCCTAATTAATATTGTATTTCACCTAAGATGCACTACTTGTATTATTCTTGTGTCTTTTAAAATATTTTGTGTGCGGCAATGCTCTATATTTTGGCCCCTATAACATCAACACATTTCCACCCATAGTGACAGTTTCGCACTAGCTACAAATTACTTATATTTTCTTTATATAGTAATAGGGCTGGTAAGTAGGTCACCAACCAGTTCTAAGGCTCAATAAAACCTGCATGAGCCATAGAACTGGTTGGTGACCTACTTACCAGCCCTATTAGCACACACGTAAAATAAAATTTTAAATTTTTTGTTTAAATAAATATCCAAAACTTATTTTTGAGTGTATTCTGTTGTTTGTTTTTTTTAAAACAAATAATTTTGATGTCATATTTTTCTAATTAGGCCGAGTTGTGTAAACAAGACCTATAACTCTTACGCAAGATGACCGAGACAGTGAAGTTAAGTCCCCTGAATAATGAAGACCTGTCGTGGGCTGACCAGTATTCCAAGGAGAAGTAGTTGCTCTCAGACACGATCTGGTAGGGATAGTTTGCGGGGTTTATCCTGGAAAAATACAACAGTATAGGGATAGGTGACCGGGTTTATCATAGAAAAATACAACAGTATAAGGATAGGTGGAGGGGTTTGTGTCGAAAAACAATCGATCCATTGTCTCATCTAAATTCCTTAAATCGTAACTAGAAATAATTAGATTATGGCTTTTTATCTATTTTATTTAGTTAGGATTAGGGATTTTCCTATCATTTAGTTAGGATAAGGGGTCCCATCATTTCGTTAGGATTAGATATTTTCCCACCATTTAAGTAGGATTAGATATTTTTCCATCATTTAGTTAAGATTAGATATTTTCCCAAAATTTAGTTAGGATTAGATGTTTTCCCAATCATTGAGTTAGGATTAGATATTTTCCCATCATTTAGTTAGAATTAGATATTTTTCCATCATTTAGTTCGGATTTGATACTTTCCCATCATTTAGTTCGGATTTGATACTTTCCCATCATTTAGTTCGGATTAGATACTTTCCCATCATTTAGTAGGCACTTAGAGCCCTATCGACCTGTAGCAGAATGTACCCACTTGTTAGGCTCCTGCCATTTGTGATAACGTTTATATAGCACTTGATCGTCGTTAGCCGTGCTGATAGACACCAAGTTGAATGTGACCTTGAACTGAGAGTTGGGTGGGGCCTGTAGACAGAACGGAAGAAAAAAACACGGCAACGAAGGTGAGAATAGTACGTCGAGTCGTATTTTGAGTTCAGTGTAATGTAGTGGAGCTAATCCTTTCATTAAGGTCGATGATGGTTGACTGATCTCACCCACACTATTATACATGACTTTATATTCAAATTAACCCTACCCCACCCAAGGGTTTTTTTTTTCCATTCTGTTGCTGCTCTGTAACTGATTTCTAATCACCAGGTTCATAAAAAAATACAGTGGTGACAACGATTCAATATTGACCACAATCTACTGAAACTGGTTACCACAATTGACTTAAAATGGTGACTGCTATCTACCTAAAGCAGTGATCATACTGTACTTACGTCGAACATGTACAAACAACGTCTGTTCGGCTCACGCTGGCCGAGTTCAGTCCCGGGTGTTGCTATGGTGATTGACGGGTTGCTGGCGTCCAGGTACACTTGCTGGTTGCAGCCTTAGTTGTGTTTTTTAATAATTGTGTTCAATTGTAGAAGAAATGCATGTTTTAGGATTTTTTTCTATCTATATTTAGGGCAAGCAGTAAGGTAAGAGTTGGTGTTGAGATTATGCTCAGGGTGATACTTACGGTTATGACGAGATTATGGTCAGGGCGATACTTAAGGTTATGACGAGATTATGGTCAGGGCGATACTTACGGTTATGACGAGATTATGGTCAGGGCGATACTTACGGTTATGACAAGATTATGGTTAGGGCGATACTTACGGTTATGATGAGATTATGGTCAGGGCGATACTTACGGTTATGACAAGATTATGGTCAGGACGATACTTACGGTTATGACGAGATTATGGTCAGGGCGATACTTACGGTTATGACAAGATTATGGTCAGGGCGATACTTACGGTTATGACGAGATTATGGTCAGGACGATACTTAAGGTTATGATGAGATTATGGTTAGGGCGATACTTACGGTTATGACAAGATTATGGTCAGGACGATACTTACGGTTATTACGAGATTCTGGTCAGGACGATACTTACGGTTATTACGAGATTCTGGTCAGGGCGATACTTACGGTTATTACGAGATTCTGGTCAGGGCGATACTTACGGTTATGATGAGATTATGATCAGGGCGATACTTACGGTTATGATGAGATTATGGTCATTTTTAATAATGATAACAATGTCTAATAAATCTTCACTAATAAGTATTATGTTACAGGGTAGTCTAGGTTAGGTTCAACGTTAGGATCATGACCAGGCTAAGCTTAAGTCTACGATTAGCCGAGGATATTTATAACTGTATAATTATTAAAGTCTTTTCAATTATTTTTTTAATAATAAATCGACCTGTGTTAGTATTAGTTTGACGCTTAAGCTTACCGTATTTGGGTGGAGTGTAGTAACACGAGAAGGCTGAGACGGAAGTGCTGAACAACCAGTAGGGCGTGGTGGAGGGGAACTGTTCTGTGATCGATGCCACCGAGGTCCACCAGTTCTGTCGCGTGATGGCCGACTTCAGACCTGCAGAAAACACAACACGGTTCTATTTTAAAATATAGGTAAAATGTTTCAAAAAATTGTTGATCAATGTTAGTTGCGACATAGGAAGAAATGAAAATGGAAGTCGTTTCAAAAATACTCATAAAACTGTAGCACTGGGGGGAATATAGATTCAAGATGAGATCAGAGGATATCACAGGAGTGGCGCTTTAGTAGACTCATTTATGAATAATGACAACAGGGAAAGCCATGCAAGTCTTGTAGTAGAAGAACAACTGACTATTTTGCGAAGCTTGAAAGAAAGTTACCAATGTGTATACAACGTTTTGGTCATAGGTGCTTTGACCATAGGGGGTTTGACCACAGCGGAGCTTTGACCATAGGGGGTTTAACCATAGGGGGTTTGACCATAGGGGGTTTGACCATATGGGGTTTGACTACAGGTGTTTTCTCAGCAGAGGGTCTTTGATCACAGGTCAAAGCCCCTCTGTGGTCAAACCACCTATGGTCAAACCCCCTATGGTCAAAGCACCTGTGGTCAAAGGTCTGCGCACCACCTTTTTGTGGTGGCCCCGTGTGCTCTGAGCACTGAAGGGAGAAGATGATGAGGAGAAAACATATGCAATCGTATACACGCTTGCCGTTTATTTATAATTCAATGAATGGATCGTGATAGAATCTGGGACATTGAGGAGGTTCACGCTAAAATTAAACTGCCTACCTCACGGTAAACGTGCACGCAGGGGCGTAGAGAGGGGGGGGGCGGTGGATGCGGACCGCAGCGGGTGACACCATTTAGGAGGGTGACACCAAGGCAAAAAATAGCAAAGTATATAGAGAAAAACTTGAGGGGGGGGGGTGCAAATCGAAAGTTTGAGGGGGGGTGCAAATCGAAAGCTTGAGGGGGGGTGCAAATCGAAAGTTTGAGGGGGGGGGGTGCAAATCGAAAAGTTGAAAGTTTGTCCCCGGGAAGAGTCGCTACGCCTCTGGGGGGTGACACCATTAAGTGCTGCACCGGGTAACACCCGACCTCGCTACGCCATTGCGTGCACGGGCGTGTATCTCCACCCACGTTCTCTCTAATGGGAAAATTTCAATATTTAAGATAAATGTTTTATCAAACCCTGTATGGGAAAATAAATTGAGCCTAAACAAATTTATCGAACCTCTTATTTTGGGACAGCTTGACCTGACAATGAGCCGGAACGGTTCGGCGTCCGGCAGCTCAATGGGGATGAACGACGGCTCCTGGTAGCGGCAGCAGTACTTCTGTGTGACGTTGTTGTCCTTGAATGTCGTGTCGCCCAAAGAACCGTTGAACTGAATGGGCGATCTTGAGCCCAGCTCAATAGAAGTCTCAACGTAGGCTGTAAATACAGAAGACATTTGCTGAATACACTTAGATTTAAAATACAAATGTCTTTTGTTGAGTATTCTCTAATTATCCGTAGGTCTACACTAAATTTTATTGTCATTTTCCTCCCTAGATATTAGTTTTATTAATATTTTAATACGGGTCAGATTTTCAATTAGTCGGAGCCTTTCTATAAAAAAAAACCCATAGCTTTCATGAACCTTTAGAATGAATAATATTACGTTTGTAAACCCTTGTTTCTAGACTGATCCCATGTTAGAAATGTGTTGTTGTTTATACACCACAACTTAGCTCTGATACTTGACTAGTCAGGCTAAACATATGCTAGTAGACTGTACTTTAATAAACA